TAGCCTTCCAGGACTGTACATGAGACAGCGTGTTCCTCCACTAGAACTTGAAACACTGCGCCAAGTAAATGTTTTGAAGGAAGAACTTTTACCCTTGTCAGTTGTCAGAAACTCAAGGGATGCAATCTGACAGAACAAAAATATGAAATGCATAGCCAGAAACTATGCTGATTCTCTGTATTAGTGTTGGAGAGATTTTCCATCCATTTCAGGAAGTGAGGAGAAATCTTCAATAGGCACATACATAGCAATAAAACCAGACAGAGCCTAACCCTTCTCTACTCCATCCAAAGCAACAACCCAAAAAAAAGTATGGAGTTGGGCTTTAATAAGTCATTATTAAAGGGACATTTTCAATGAGAAAGAAAGGGTGCTGCCATTGCTGACTTCTCACTTATTGCTTGCACATAGGTTCAGTCAGCTGTATCTTTCTGTCAAATTCAAGGCTATGGGACTCTACTGTACACTCAGAGGTAGTGGTATGAAGACGACCGTACAGAAATGTGTAAGCATTGCAGCAGAACGCTTATGGATTAGATTCCAGAACGTGGCAAGTATGCTGCTGAAAATGAGTAATGGGAGTGGGACTATCAAAGTGCTTTTTGAAAATGTTCCTTACACTTTAAAACCTGAAGTTTAATTGGCTTTCCTGTTTCTCTACTCTTCCCCCTCACTGCCAACCCCCAACCAACCAAAATGCTAATAAACTATTTAAGCAAAAGGTTTTTGTTTTCATTACTTTGTTATTTTAAACCCACCAATGTCATCACTTGGTCTCTGTGCAATACAGGCAGACCAGGGCTGGTGGGAGGGGCTTGCAGACTGCTGTACATTGCTTCCTGGAAACATCACAACACTCTGCCTCAGGTCTCCTTTCAAGAGACTTCAGCCCTGATGCAAGCAGTGGGTTGGCACATATGTGGAATGTTAAAAATAACAAAATGCCTTCATGAGTGGGATTCCTAGGCATATTGCACACGTACATTGCTGAACCTCCATGATTGAAAGAACTTAAATTCAATGATGGGGCAGGTACACTAACACTGGGGTGAAATGAGCTAGAGGATGCTGGACATCCTCTAGCATAGAAATGAGGATAACGAACACTGTGAATAAGCAACTTAATGACAGGTGAAGAGCCTGTACTACTGTGCCAGACTGAAGGTAGGTCTGGAGTTGTTGATTGTTAAGGCTCAATTACAGCCAAGCCTGAATATCTATACCCTGGCCCTGGTTCATTTTCAGGGAAAAAGTAACTACATTTAAAAATGAATGGTCTTTTTTTTTTTTTAAATAAGGAATATACACATTAAAGTAAAGCTGGCGGTTGACAAGCATTCCATGCTGTGGCTTTTAATGGTATTTGAATGTGTTTTGTATTGCACGTGTCTTTACACTTTTTATTTAAAATCACATGGAAAATGTTGACTCTCAAAATATTTGAACAGGCAAACATTAGATTTCTTAAACAGTGCCTATAGAAAAAGAGAATAAACTTGAAACATTACACATAAAATTGACATGGTGTTTTCATTCCCATAAGCTTAATATATGAAATCAGAATTGGATGTTCCCAATTAGGTGTAGTGATTAGAACCTCCTTAAGGAGTATGCAGATTGAATCTGTCTAAAGGTGCCCATACACTGCACGATTCTCGTACGAGAATCGTGGGAAATCCAGCAATCGTACGAGAATCGTGCAGTGTATGGAAGGCGTGCGACCGTTTCTACTGTACGGTCGCACGTCTTCCGTTGAACCAGCAGGCTAGAAAACCCGCCGGGAATCGTACATTTCTCGGCGAGTTAGTGGCCTGCTGGTTCGACAACTGCCAAACGGGCCGGTGTGCGCACGCGCACAAGCCCGTTTGCAGTCATCGTAAGCCCGCTCCTCATTGCAGTCATCGTAAGCTCGCCCCTCGGGGGTGGGCTTGCGATGATCGCAAGTACGATCTGCCTGTCCAAGATGGGCAGATCGTACGTTTTTTAAAGTACTTTACAACCCTTTGCAAGACAAAAGTCTTGCAAGGGTTGTAAAGTGTATGGCCATCTTTATTTAAACCTCAGCTATCTAGGGTCTCATGTTCTCTTTTCTATTGATGTGTGGTGTCATTACACCAATATCAAAAGAGCTTTCTAAAGTCCCCCAGCAGGTTGTGGTTACTTCTGATTTAGACAAGGGACTGAAAAAAAATGCGAAATTATTTGGAATCAATCATTCAATTGTAAGGGAAATGTACAAGTGGTGTGGTGTTTGAACAACTGATCATTTGTCCAGGACCAGCTAATGTAGCTCAAGAGCTTGATTCTAAAAGAACTCTTTGAGAAACCCAAAATTTAATTGCAAGTTTTTTTCCAGGTAATTGCAACAATTGGTGGCAAAGTACATGCGTCTAGAAAATGGACTGCACTAATTTAACCTGCATAGGGGTATGTTAGGGGAAAAAAGCTTCTTTAAAAAAAAAAAAAACATTAGAGCAAGACTACAGTTTTTACCGTCTTTAGTCCATAGCATGTTTGATGGAAAAGACCAGTTGTTTGGCCACATTAACAGTAAACATGTTTTACAAACTGACAACATTTCAGGAGAAAAACCTCATATCAACTGTGAACCATGGTGGTGGAAGGGTTATGGTTTAGGGTTGCTTTGCTGCTTCAGGACAGTTTGCAGTCATCATGTCAACTATGAAGTCTGCATTGTATCAAAGTGTGCTTGATGAGAATGTAAGGTCAACTATCTGTCTAAAAGTAGAAAATTGATCTTTCAACACAATCCAAAGAATGGCTCAAAAAGAAAATGCAGAGGGTTACAAACTGTCTTAGTCCAAACCCTGATTTGAATCCCATTGGAATATTGTAGGGGGGGTTAGAAAGGGGCAGTTCATGCAAGGAAACCCGCAAACTTCTTGCAGCTGAAGGAATTATTCATGGATGAATGGTCAGACATTTCACCCAAATTATGCCATAGACTGGTGGGAAATTCTACAAACTTTATTTGATTGAAAGGGCAAATGTTCCTTCTATTTTATTTGCATTTATCACCTTTTATTTGTAGGCACTGTTTAAATTCGTTTAAGTTAACAACCTCAATGGGGTGTACTTATGTTTTCACATGACTATTTGCTGTAAATATAAACTGTGCCTAGAAGTTCAATTCATGGGCACATTTATTGATATTTTAAAAGGATGCTGTTTTGCAAAGTTGGGGGGGCTGTCCTGGCTTAGTGTATAAGGGCCAGGGGAAATCTGTTTTGAAAACTGATCTATGCTTTGTGATATTTGTGACAAAAAAGGTACTTTTACTTTAATCAAAATGTGGTTTGGTGTTTTGGCGGAATGCTTGTTTTGAATTGTGTGAATTTTAGTTAGGCTTTACAGGACTATTCACACTTTTTTATGCGTCTTTCACCTGGTGCATGTAAGTGAAATTAATGGAAAATGCATTAAAACACTTCACATATGTGTTGAACGCTTTTTATTATCAACATTTTTTTATTAAGTTTTAGACGAATGAAAAGTATCAACAGTCAAACATGTTAAAGCTTTTAATGTACGTTTACTTTTTATTGGAAGTCAACTTGTGTGACAACGCACACTAACATATGTTGACCTTCATCTTAATGCGTTTTAATCCATTGATTTTGTTTACACAAAGGTGTGCACGCCTTTTGCAGAGATCTATTCAGTGCAGTGTGTGTCCAAGTGTGGGCACCCAGACCTGTGCAGGTTTGGGTCAGTGTGTAGGCGCTTGCAGCTGCGTCGTCCCATAGGGATGTACAGGCGGCTGCACACAACAATGCGTCATACCTGTACCTGACTGTGCAGATACCTGAGCAGGTATCTGCACAGTCATGCATGCCTCTGTGAATGAGGTGCGAATACATCTTCTCCCCCTCTAGCAGGATGATGTAACATAACCAAAAACAAGGTAGGCCCTTAAGACACGACATGAAGGTTAAAGTATATGTAAGCCCTAAATGAATAACATTTAGTTTTAGCACTATTTTTTATTTTATTTTAAATACGTGTTCACTTTTTTCCCCTCCTTTTTTTTGCATCTCAGTGCTGCTGTGTTTTGTGTGATGGCTGCATGATATTTCTCACAGCATGGGCTCTTGATGGTGACTTGTCACCATCAGAAGCTTGTGTAAAAGGGTGACAACACCAACACTATTCTGTAGACAAGGACATAGTAGAATGAATGGGGCGTGCAGACTAAAGAGGATCCCTGAGGGTGATCTTTTCTGACCTTCGTTTTAATACTGGGTCCAACCACCAGGTGAGAGCCAAAAGGTGGAGGTTTTTGGACATCATCACTTTTATAAAGGATTTATAGTTCCACATTTCAACGTACTCCATATTTGGAATACAATTGCACAGCACTTTTTAATATTAGTTGGATCACATTTGGATCACATTTGGAATGCTATCAAGCTTTAATTGACTGGTTTCTACATGAACTTTGGAATAGATTGTACAGCAATATTGTATTAATGTTAATAGGTTGAGGTTTTCTGTTTGTGTTCAATAGAAATTGCTGCCGTTATTGATAGCGCTACACTACATGCTTTTTATTTTTGGTTTGTTTGTGATAACACATACTAAGTGTTGGCAGCTGCACACAATAGATAGGGAATCCATAGCGCAGAAGTTTTCTGATACCATCAGAAGCTTGTGTAAAAGGGTGACCATGCTTAAACACTGTTCTGTAGACAAGGTCACAGTGGAATGATTGGGGAGTGCGGAGGCTTAAGAGGACCCATGATGACGTTTTCAGTAGCGGGGCTGTGTGGCACCTAGCGTGCTACAAAGTAAAGGTTGCTGGATTGAGGACCATGGTGCGTATCGGACCAGGGAGGCTGTATTTATTAAACCACAACATGTGGGACTTTAGTGAACGGGTTTACATATAGTTTAAGGAATAATTATAATTTTGTTTATTCTATACTATATGAACTAGAATTGTTTTTTGATTTGTTTGTCGTTCCGTCATCTTCTTGCAGGTTTGTTTTGGCAGTTGGAAGTGCTGTCTTTGATGCTATGTTTAATGGTGGCATGGCCACAACATCCACAGAAATTGAGCTACCAGATGTTGAACCAGCTGCTTTCCTTGCTTTGTTAAAGTAAGTTATGACAGCAGTTATATTTCTTTTTTCATTTGCCAATTAACCTTTTGTATATAGTAAAAGCTAATTTTTTTTGTAAATAAATTTCTTGTATATATGTATGTGTGTGTATATATATATATATATATATATATATATATACACAAGAAATTTATTTACAAAAAAAATATATACATACATACATACATACATACATACATACATACATACATACCTTAAAAAATACACTCGACTGTATATGTATGTGTTTTTTTTTTTGTTTTTTTTTAATGGAAACAGTGGGGGCTTTGTTTTTAAGAATGGCATTTAAGTGTGAGCTAACATTGGCAACAGAATTACTTTTATAACTTGGTCTTTGCGTTTTTATAGGAAATATAAGTTGGCTCTAACACTGTATAGTCACCAACGTTGACTGCACTATGGTATGTGAGAAGAATAGGGACAAATCAGCACCATCTGCTTAATGTTTTTTATTATGGATAATTAAACAATTTTTTAGTAGTATGAAACAGATGCTGAGAATGAGCTCAGAATCTTTTGCTTATATGTTCTGATATTTTAAGCCTGTATAATTTCTATTCAAAGCAACTATCTGCTTTTAAACCCAAACTCTGGTCTCAAATAATAAAAAAGTTACATTTTATTTTAATGCAAGCAATATTTTAAAACAAACAATTGGGCTGCCATTGCCGACCTCCTGAAAATGCTAGGTGCTATCATGTCTACCTTTTTTAAATATTTGGAGTCACTAACTGGAACATATCTACAGCCAGACAGAATTCCTGATGTGCTTTGTTCTTTAACTTTGGCTCAGAAAGCATGACACTATTGGATCACAAAGGCAGTCAGACAATTAGCATTTTCAGAAGGAATGCTTTTGTGGCTTAGATTTTTCTCTGGACAGGCTTCCTTAAGTGTAAAAAAGTGCTGGCCTTGCGATTTGTAATGCTTAGTCGTAAAGATGCAGAGTCATATGGGCTTTTTCTTGGCTATGTATTTTCTGTGAAATTCTTGCATCCACACTAACTTGAATACATATTGTTTGAGGTTCCTATACTCTGATGAGGTTCACATTGGACCAGAGACTGTCATGACTACCCTGTACACAGCAAAGAAGTATGCGGTGCCAGCACTGGAGGCACATTGTGTGGAGTTTCTCAAAAAGAACCTTCGGGCTGATAATGCCTTCATGTTGCTTACTCAGGTATGTGGCTGTGAGGTTCAACAGAAAATAGTTACTGATTAAAGTAGACCTGTCATGTGAGAAACATGGAGGATGGCATTGCTAATGCTAGTTGCCTAGTTGTAATGTGTGACCCTCTTGCATCAGTTCTTTTCTTCACTGGTCTGGAACAAATGCAAAGATCAGGACATCTGACTTTTCTCTGCTTTTCTTGAGCTGCATATCTTATTTATGGTCAGTGATTCAAAGTTTTTAATCTGGTGCATCGCCAAAATAGTGGACAACCAAACCCAAAAATGTAGTGAAAAATGCACATACGTTAAATTTAGTGCCCCAAAACACAATCTAATACCATTTTGTTTGTGGGAAATATAAAAGATGAGATTATGACAAGTAAAATGGATACCAAACATGCTCAGGTTTAAAAATTGTGTGCGTCTGTGAAACGGCAACAAAATTCAGGACCCCTTAACCACTTCCCGGCCGTAAAAAAACGGCCGGCCAGGAGCTCTCTAGATCTGAGCGGGTGTCTTTAGACATCTACTCAGCCACGCTCCCTCACACGCGCTGCAGGGCGCGCGCCAGCGGAAAATGCCCGATATTTGAAAACCGGCAGCGATACCCGTTAATGTAAAGGTGACCTGCCGGCGGATCGCTTGTATGAGGTCCCGGGATGTGCGCCCCCCACCGCGGCTCCCCCCCTTCCGCTGTCACGCTGGTCCCGGGCTCCGCTGTGCCCGGTGCGAGCCCGGGACCAGCATACTGCCTCTGTCACAGGGGATCAGAGGGAGGTCGGTACACGACCTCCCTCCGGTCCCCTCTCCACTGTCAGTATGCGGAACTGATGTATATTACATCAGTTCCGCATTCTTGTGTCACTCTCCAGCTTCAGATGCTGAAGAGAAGCTGATGAAGCAGATCTCTGCTTCATCAGCTTCTTCAGGGGGGTCCTAGGTGACAGGGGTCTTGGAGACCCCTGATGTCTCCATAAAGAAGACATGTCACATCTTTTGCTATCACATAAAGGGGTGTTCTTAGCCCCCTATGTGATAGCAATAAAGTTAAGTGGGGGAAAAAAATAGGGAAAAAAAAAATGTAAGTTTCCCCCCCAAAAATGTTAAGTTACAAATAAAGAATACATTTTTTTTTTTTAAAGTAAATAAAAGTAAATCACCGGCACACACTTGAAGGGTTTTTAAAGTATTGATATGTTTATTCAATACCCAATGTCACATACTGTCATACGGTGCTAACGTTTCAGGTTCCTTCATCAGAGCGACAGTGACTGATGACCCCATACATACACGCATGCAAACAGGCGTCGGGGGCGCATACGTGCGAAAACTATGATTTCACCCATTACGCCGCACATGTTGCATATCGTTGCGAACGTCGGAATGAGAGCAATAATTCTAGGGCCATCAATCACTGATAACACTAAACTGATGAGCTGTAAAAGCTTTTAAAGTGTCGCCTATGGTCAATTTTGGGTATGGTAGTTTTTTGCAATTGCACGGGTGCGTGCAATTTTAAAGCATGACATGTTTAGTGTATATTTACCCGACGTGACCCCGTCCTTTTATATTTCACCAAAAATATGGTAATAATAATATGGTAATGGAAAAAAACTTTTTTTCCCTAATATAGTAAAAAATAAAAACCCCAGTGGTGATTAAATACCACCAAAAGAAAGCTCTATCTGTCCCCAAAAAATGGTATAAAATTCATTTCAGTACAGCGTTGCATGACGAAATAAACGTCAAAGTACCGCAGCGCTGAATACTGAAAAATGGCCTGGCCAGGAAGGGGGTCTAAACACCTGGTGTTGAAGTGGTTAAAGTCCATGGACAATGCTTTAAGAGCCCCTACAGATCATCAATTTAGCGGCCCTTAGAAGCGATCTAATGGCAGCTGAGCCGCCTGAATCGCTTCTATTGTAAAAGTCGGCTTTGCAATTGTAAAACTGTGAAAACAATCAGGTCCGAACAATCTCAGATTCGAAGAAAATACTTTATTACTCGTACGAGGAGACAAGACATAGAAAAAAATCTAACAGCTAGTAGATGTCATCCGACGGTTTTAACCCATGTGACCCGTGCAATAGGGCTGCTTACACATGAATTAACCTATCAGAAAGGCATTTATGTCTTGTCTAACAATAGCTTGCATAGTTTATAAAGCCTGAGCCGTGGAATGTACCTTATCAAAAAGTAATTTAATTGGTCCACTCCACAGCCCTTACAAGGTAATAAGCAATAAACTTCCGTGTTCAGAAGTAAATATACGTCACACACAGATTTCAGTAATTTGCTTGCAAAAGCATTTCTTCTGTTCCAAACTTGCAAATAGGCATTTCAAGCATATGATTATACAAGTTTAACTAAACTAAGTATTTCCACCTTTGACAAAAACAGAGTCCCGGCGGCTTTAGTATGTTTAAACGGGCCTGCTGCCAGTGACGTTCTATGTACGTCACTGGTCGCTAAGGGGTTAATAGGGATGCACTGATATAGCGTCCGCCGAAACATATCGTCTGAAAATAGCACTTTTGGCATAATGCTGAAAGTGCCATTTTCTGGCCGATACATCGGTGCATCCGTGAATTCTCTCCTCCCCGCTGGGCGCTGCTCTGTGTCCCAGTGGGGAGGAGAGAAAGTGTGACAACCGGCTGAGCGCAGCGGGAGGAGAGAGCTGTGAGCGGCCGGTGTCTCTCCTCCCGCACCGCTCAGCCTCATGTCACAGTCAGGCAAAACGGTGTGTGGGCGGAGACAGCCCGCGCTGTCACAGGAGGCTGAGCTCTCCTCCCTGCACTGCTCACTCAGCCTCCTGTGACAGCTGTCAGAAAGGAGAGCGAGGTACAAACACTGTGTTTGTACATAATTGAGGAAATAGTATGTTTACTATATCCTCAATTATGAATGAGTGGGACGTGATCTACGTCACCTCCTGTTCATTCATAACTCGAGGACATAGTATGTTTACTATAACCACAACTATGAATGAACGGGAACATTCAGTAAAGAGGATTTCTGGTCCTTGATAACAGGGGATGCAGAAAAAGAGATTGAGGACTCCGTGTCCTCAATCTCTATTTCGATTTTAAAAGGGAAATATCAGGGGTCTGTTTTAGACTCCTAATATTTCCCCAAAGCCACAAAAAGTAAAGTAAAAATATTTAATAAAAAATGAATAAATAAAAATGTAAAAAGGTTATATAAAAATAAAATATTTTAAAAAGTTAAAATAAATACATTTTCGGTTACGGCCTGACATTTTTTTTTTTTGCTGAGATGGCTGTAGTGTTGAAGGTAACAAAGCTGAAGCAAGCTATCTCATTAGGGCCTCTAAGATCTCTCCGCCTGCTGAGGTAGTTGCTCCACCCTGGAACCAGTTTGTGCCTAAACAGACTGGGGAGTTCAGAACCTACCTGTGTGGTAAAAACCAGCTTATGTACGGTGAGATACAGCTTGTGTTGCAGTTTGTCAAGCAGGGAGTTAGGTGCTTGGGGCAGCACCAGGTTGCTCCTGGCTGCTAGTTGGCGGAAGGCTGTGTAGTAGAGCTGCAGCTAACGATTATTTTCAAAATCGACTAGTTAGCCGATTTATTGAGTTCGATTTAATCGGATAAAAAATAAAATAAAATACATTTTAAAAAACGGCTCCAGTGATGGGACTACTAGTTTGTATTGAGATTGTAGTCCATCACAGGAGCAAGCTTGGAGCGATGGAAGTAAATAAGAAAAAAAAAGAAGTGTGGTGTGCAATATAGTGAAATGAAAAGTGTAAAATTATATAGCAATGAATGCAGCATGGCACCGGCTATAGAAGACTACAAATCCCAGCAATAGTACATTATACCACCAGCTACAGAGGAGTACAACAAATCCCAGCAATATATTATACAGCAAAATGCAGAATACCACCAGATATATAGGAATACAACAAATGCCAGCAATACATAATAGCTGGTGGTATTCTGCATTGTGCTGTATAATGTACTATTGCTGGGTTTTGTAGTCCTCTATAGCTGGTGGTATTCCGCATTGCACTGTATAATGTACTATTGCTGGGATTTGTAGTCCTCTATACAGCGCAATGCAGTTTACCATCAGCAATCTCAACAACAAATCTCAGCAATAGTACATTATACATACAGTGTATAATGTACTATTGCTGGGATTTGTAGTCCTCTGTATAATATACAGCACAATGTACCATCAGCTATAGAGGAATACAAATCACAGCAATACATTATAGAGCACCATGTGGGCGGAGTGCAGGCTTACCTGAGCAGTCTTCCAGCAGCTTGCTTCTGAGATGGGGCCTGTCTACCGGCGATTGTCATCCCCCACACCTGCTCCTCCTTCTTCTCCCTGCATCCCTGTGCCGATCGTGGATGTGGGAGGGCGGTGAGCGTGAGGCGGGGAGGAGGTGCGGCGTGTGGATGCGGGCGGGTCTGGCAGCGGCGAGCGTGAGGTGTGGAGGAGGTACGGCGCGCACGTGTGTGGAGCCGTGAACAGGGCCAACTAACCAGAAGCCGATTAATCGATGATTGAAAAAGTTGACAACTTTTTCAATAATCGATTGTCAATTAGTTGTTGCAGCAGTAGGATTTGCCAAGTGGCAAGGATTTATGTTCATGTTTCTTTTTCTTTTGCTGTCGCTTTGAGCTTATAAATAGTGTAAATAAACTGCATGTGTGCTTTTCACAAAAAAAACACTGCTTGCTGTGCCTGTGTAATGTGTTGAGAACTAATCCAGAGAGTCACGCATACCCGCTGCCAAGCTAACTCCCTCATAATACCTTTTTTGTAGCAAATACAATAGCTGTATGAGCATATTGCTAGTTTTTAAGTTTGCATTAAAGATCTGGAGGAGGACAACATTAAGGTAAAATGACAACCTTGAGAGTAGTCTTCTGTTTCACTAAGCAAGAGAGTTAATGGGGGTAAATGTGGGGGGATGATTCATGCATGCCAGGCGGCGAACTGGGCCACTGTAGAAGAAGTGTCAGGGTTCATGGAAAAAGGATGGCCAGTCCTATTTTAAGGAATCCTATAGAGCTGCAGCTAACTATTATTTTCAAAATCGATTAGTTAGCCGATTTATTAAGTTCGGTTAATCGGATAAAAAATAAAATAAAATACATTTTAAAAAATGGCTCCAGTGATGGACTACTAATTTGTATTGAAATTGCAGTCCATCACAGGAGCAAGTTTGGAGCGGTGGAGGTAAAAAGGAAAAAAAAAAAGTGTGGTGTGCAACATAGTAAAATTATACAGCAATTAATGCAGAATGGCATCGGCTATAGAGGACTCCAAAACCCAGCAATAGTACATTATAGCTGGTGGTATTCTGCATTGTGCTGTATAATGTACTATTGCTGGGTGTTATAGTCCTCTATAGCGAGTGGTATTTGGCATTGCACCACTGTATAATGTACTATTGCTGGGATTTGTTGTACTCCTCTATAGCTGGTGGTATTCCGCATTGAGCTGTATAATGTATTATTCCTTGGTTTGTAGTCCTCTATAGCTGATGGTATAATATACAGCACAATGTACCATCAGCTATAGAGGAATACAAATCCCAGCAATACATTATAGAGCACCATGTGTGGGAAAGTGCAGGCTTAGCTGAGCAGTCTTCCAGCAACTTGTTTCTGAGATCGGGCCTGTCTATCGGCGGCTGTCATCCACCCACACCTGCTCCTCCTTACTTCTTCTCATCACCCCCCCGTGTCCCTGTGCCGATCGTGGATGTGGGCGGGCGGTGAGCATGCGGCGGGGAGGAGGCGTGGCCTGTGGATGCGGGCGGGTCTGGCAGCGGCGAGCCTGAGGTGGGGAGGAGGTGTGGCGCGCAGCGTGTGTGGAGCCATGAACAGGGCCAACCAATCAGAAGCCGATGAATCGATGATTGAAAAAGTTCACAACTTTTTCAATAATCGATTGTTGATTAGTTGTTGCAGCCCTAGAATCCTAACAAATATATGCCAAGTTAGGTGAAAATATGAGGTTAATGCAGGAAGGCAGAGGTGGTGGTTGCAGTGGATTCTCTTATCAGGTAAATTTGATAGAATGAATATTAACTAGGGATGCACCGATACCATGTACCATACTCGGTACAAGTACAGATACTTTTCGAGCTTCAAGACTAGACTAGAGAAAAATTTAAAAAAGTTTGGAGGCAGCTGTCATTTGTAAGGAGCACACGGAGCTCCTGGGATTTGTACATCTGTTGTAATGTATGATTTTGTTTCAAGGGATGCACTGATACCATTTTTGCAAGCACTGATACTTGCCCAAGTACTTACAAGTACAAGTACTGATACATTTTTGTTTATTGTCATGTGACAGTTTTTCTAAAACAATATCGACTTATGATTTCAGGACAGTGGTGGAGCACCAGAACCAGGTCCCAGCTGCAACCCTGGTAGTTCTCATGAAAATGCCAAGTATCGGCGCTGGTATCTGAAAAGTATCGGTGCATCTCTAATATTAACCCAGATCGATGCATCCATAGTGCCAGGGTTTGGCATTTAGTGGACTGAGCAGACACATTACTGCTAGCTGTTCATGTTGAAATGACAGACTACAGGTGAAACTCGAATAATTAGAATATGCGTGGTGTCAATGATGGTTTTCTGCACAACTGTCAGGTCAGCAGTCTTTCCCATGATTGTGGTTCTGATTGTGGTCTACTGAACCAGACTGAGAGACCATTTAAAGGCTCAGGAACCCTTTGCAGGTGTTATGGCTTAATTAGCTGATTAGAGTGTGACACTTTGAGCCTAGAATATTGCACCTTTTCACAATTTTCGAATTTTCTGAGATTGTGGATTTGGGGTTTTCATGAGCTGTAAGCCATAATCATCACAATTATGACAAATCACGGCTTGAACTATCTTGCTTTGCATGTAATGAGTCTATCTCCTATATTAGTTTCACCTTTTAAGTTGCATTAGTGAAATAAATGATCTTTTGCACGATATTCTAATGATTCGAGTTTCACCTGTATATGGAAGCTGGAGGATCTTTTTAGAATCAGTTTAGAGAACTAGGCTACAAGATGAAGGGAATAACTTCCAAGGTTGTATTCTCTGTAACATTGCCTGTGCAGATCAAGAAAAACATTGGAAGTTCGCAGAGCTTAAATATGTGGCTTAGATCTTGGGGGGAATTGGGTTTCATTGGTGTATAACCTATATGCTACAGAGGGTTTGTACTTTAATGGAATTGGGTGTTTAGTGTTATTAGAGATGTTTATGGTTTTGTGTTTGGGTTTGGCACAAGCAGTTGACACAATTCTATGCAGATAACTCATCAGTTACAGTTGGAACTTTCAGTCTGTCATTTGATAGAAAGCTGACCTTCTTTATAAAATAATTGTTTTGCTATGTAAATGAGAGCATTCAACAAATATATTTATACCAGTGAATTGTGCTAGGGACCAACTTTCAACAAACTATAACACTGTGTCATTAAAATACACACTATCCTTCACATTACATTTCTTTATGTGAAAGTGACTACATAACTTCCATGTCATATAATCATGATTTGCAGTCCAATTTATCATTTCCAAAAGTGAGTCTGTCCTCATGTTCACTCAAGTGCTTTCCCAGTGAAACAAAAGCTGTATGCAGTGTCCCAAAAACTTCCAAAATTGTGTGCTCCCGGTCACCAATTCAACTGCATGTGTATATATGTCTGTATGTATATATATATATGTGTGTATATATATTTGTCGCTTTTAAAAGAAAACTACTGTGTATTTGTATTATCGGGAATCTTGAATGTGTTACTGGTTGGTGTTGTTTTAAGTGGAACATCAGTGGATCTGTGGTAATCCTAAAATCCACTGATGATCCACTCAAACAACAACCAGTAACATATACTTTCCTCGACAGCAGGTCTACCCTTCTATTAGCACCATATCTAGTAAGTAGGGATGCACTGATACCGGGTTTTCGGTATCGAGTACCTATGTTTATATTTCGGTACTCGCCGATACCGAGTTCCGGTTATTGCGCTAGCATGGACCTAGCTTCCCGGGCAATCAAGAAGCCTGGCGGCGTGGCACTGCCCGCCTTCTTGATTGCCCGGGAAGCCGGCTCCATGCTGATTTGACTGGGAAGCCGGCTTCCCGGCCAATCAGCATGGAGCCGGCTTCCTGGGCAATCGAGAAGCAGGCCGCCTGGCTTCCTGATTGGCCGGAAAGCCGGCTCCATGTTCCCCAGTATTGGGGGTAGGTATCGGAGCATTTGGGCGAGTACTTGTATCGGCACGGAAACCGATATCAGTATTGGTGCATCCCTACTAGTAAGCATGCCCTTGCTAGCCTGCAAGGTAATGTTCTTAGTCAGGGGGTTGGCAATTGGACTTGAAGAACTCCTATCTCCAAAGCAAATTAATAGCATTCTTAACTACGTCACTAAAGAGTTTCTGGTTTGCTTATAAACACATTTTAGTTTTAATTAACATGTTTTGCTTTAATTTTCACCTCTTTAAAGAATAGTCAGTATTGCACACTGATATCATTTCATTTATACTGCATATATTAATGTTATTTTTATTTTTTTCCCTCCCTCACCCTCCCAATCCAGGCTCGCCTCTTTGATGAACCTCAGCTTGCCAGTCTATGCTTGGAAAATATTGATAAAAACACTTCTGATGCCCTAAATGCGGAAGGATTTACTGACATTGATTTAGGTAATTTGTGTGCTTAAAATTTTAAACAAGCTTTTATTTAAAGGAAACTTGTATGGTGAGAAATATGTTGGCTGATATTACTAGTTGCTTTGTTTTCTGTGGCTTTGAATACCCTCAAATAATTACTCGGCCTGTAAAATCAGAGCTCCTTGTCAGTAACTCACATGATTAAATCCAGAGTTTTAGCATGGCAGCCAGGTAACTAGCATTGTCGAACGGAAATGTAAGATCCGTAATCCATATTTCCCTTAACACAAGTTTGTCATGGTTTGCTCTACTATAAACTGTTAAACCACAGTAGTTAGAAGAGTTAAAGAAGCAAGTGAATATAGAGGAGGCAGTTTCCTACCATCAGCTGGAACATTGTATTTTTTTCTTTTTTTTTTACATGGCGGAAGAAGACGGTAAGCAAAGGTTAGACTTTCTCACGAAAAAGAACCAGAGAGCCAAAACCTAGTGCAATAATGTAGATTTTTAAACGGCAACACAATATCCACTAATATGCACTCGCATGTGGCGGTGTTGGAAGGAAGCTCAGAACTACACCTTGCTTGAAAAAGAATTGTTACTACTTTGAAACTCGTTGCCTCATATGTTTTTCCCCTATAGAGGTACACACCGCTGCGTTCGGTCTCGC